CTCTCTCTCCATCTCTCTATCTCTCCGTCTCTCCCACTCTCTCTCTCCCCCCCTCATTCTGTGGCTCCCCTTCTCTGGGTATCTCCTTTCTCTCTTGTCGCACTCTTTCTCTCTCGCTGTCTGTCTCTCTCTCTTTGGCTTCCCCCTCTCTGGGTATCTCCTCACAGCAGTGCGGCTGAGATGAACAGCTCAGTGGGAGTGATTGAAGCTGTTTTCTCATCTCTCCCGTGTTGCTGTGTGTTTGTACAGTGTGTCACGGTGATCCATCACTTTGTCTTGTCACTTTGTTTACAGATTCCATTTCCATTCCGCCTTTTACAACCTGATTTGTTAAAGCACTTTCCTCCGAGGCCTGGGCACTGGTGAATCACCACTTGCAACTCTCTCTCTCATCATTCTTATGTTTGCCTTCATTTTAGCGGATAACTTTCAGCCATTCTGCCCCCGCTCTCTGGAACTCCATCCCAGAGTCCCTCCAACTCGCCCCTTCCCTCTCCATCTTCGGTCGCCTACCCCGCCTCCACCCACCTCCTTGGCTCCCATTCCCAGCTCAAGACCCTCAATGCAAAGCAGGAGCTAACTATATCTTAACAGTAATAACACATTACATTTACACAGAGCCTTTCACGTCGGAAGGACATCCTAAGTCACTGGACAGTCAGGGATTTACACCCAAGCTGGGAGTTGGGATCAGGAGGGGTGGAGGGCAGGGAGGTTGGGGGTAGGAGGTGACCTCAGGCGCAGTCGAAGAGGAGGGTCTTGAGACGGACCTTGAAGAAAGCAAGGGAGGGGGCGAGGCGGAGGGACTGTGGAATAGAGTTCCAAAGGGTGGGGGCAGAGAGATTAAATGCCTCGCCGCCGATGGTGGTGTGGGCCGGGCGGGGGAATGTGGAGTAGGCCCGAGCCCGATGACCTGAGGGAGTGGACAGGTTGATATGGCAACTTGGCCTTCGCAACCGAAACCTCTTGTCCTCCAGCCCTGCCTGGCGTACTTGTGAATATTGTTCTGGGATTATTTTCTCAGGCCCATTTAGATCCGGTGTTCTACTTTAAGATCCCCTCTGAGACATCTCCTTTCAAGGCTTAAGAACCATAGTTTATCTGGTATTTGCTCATCGCTTATCCCTCTGACACTGAGAAGAATTCTCGTTGCTCTCCTGCTAACCCCATTTAGGGCCTGTGAGCAGTGTGCCATATGTGGCCTGACCACAGCACTGCCCATCCCTGAGCAGCAACACCTGCAGATAATAATAATAATAATCCTTATCACACCTTTGAGATGTCTCAAAACGCTTCACAGGATACACTGTAAAGTGATTTGACTGTATATTTTGTACGTGAAACACGGCAGCCAATTGCACACAGCAGCGTCCCCACAAACAGGCGTGGATTGAGTGACCAAATTATTATTATTATTATTTTTGGAAGGGATTATTTATTATCCCTGGAAAAGTGATCCGCCAATCGACTAACAACCGGGTTCCTACTTCCGAGTTCCTGCTGCTCGGTAAACAGTCCACGTGTGTGTGGAATAAGGAAACTTGCCTAACGTTTCGCTCTGCCCGGGAATCGAACCCGGGTCCTCTCGCTTGCGAGGCGAGTGCTCTAACTACTGAGCTACAGGACTCCTCATGATCTGGACTCAGCCCATGTGGAGTTTAGCCCAGTGACCCGTTTGTCTTGTTTGTTGCTGTTTGGGACACGTTGATCAAGTAGCCGTCTCACACTGCTTGACGTTAGCTCGTCTGTGTTGGACTGAAGCTCGTCTGGTTCTTACAGGATTGTTATACCAGTGTCGTGCTGTGATGTGGAAACTCGCCCAGAAAGTCTCTCCTAACAGCAAGCTTTAGTATGTCTATAAACACACACACTTTGTAATAAATTCTGGGAAGTGCAATGAGACGTTTTGACAATGTGGTAATGTAAAATGCAAGGGTTATTATATAATGTAAACTGTAGTTGCACCCGATGTTTTGGTTAATATCTTGGCACTCTCCCTCAACATTAGCTGTATAAAATATGGGTTGCGTTCTTGCATATAGAAGCTCCAATTATTACAGTAGTTTAGAGTAACACTCCCGCTGAAACGTAAAGCTTCTTGTGGTCTTTTTCGTAATAAAATAATAAATAATCCTTGAATTTGATATAGCAGCTTATCAAGTCGTTCAGACGACTAAAGCATTTCGCCCACAAAATATAGTCAAGTCACTTTACAGTATAGTCTGTGAAGCTCTTTGAGACGTCTTGAAAACGTGATAAGGCACTATATCAAATGCAAGGATTATTATTATTACAGTCAGAACATCTCAAAGCATTTCACATGTAATCAAAGCTAAATATCAGGACTGTATTTATAAGCAAATGAGGCAGTTAATTTATGTATGTCAAGAATTATTATCTTTTTGTTTATTCTTTGCTGTCACGTTGCAGAGGGAGATGTGAGAATGTGGCTTCCTACCTGACAAACTATAATAATAATAATAATAATAATCCTTGCATTTGATATAGCGCTTTTCACGTCGGGAGGACGTCCCAAAGCGCTTCACAGAACACACTGTAAAGTGAATTGACTGTATATTTGTGGGCAAATATGTGATGAAAGTCCACAGATTCAGGCCAAGGGGAATTGGATCGATTTTTGAAGGGGAGCAATTGAAGGGTGTGGGAGTAGATTTTTTTTTCAGCCACCCAAAGTGTCTGACACACGCGGAAACCCATCACCATGCTTAAGAGACTCTAAACCGAGCTGAATTTTCCATGCGTGAGCTCATCCAAAGGACAGCATCTCAGTAATCACAGCACTTCCCCAGCACTGTACTGGAGTACTGCACCCTACAATGTTGAACTAATGTTGAGAAAGTCTCCAAACCAACCTGAGATTTCCATGTATCCCACCTACACGTGGAAATCAGAGGGACGCAGCCTGCTTACCTAATTCCGGAAAGTATTAACGCAGTTGGCAAGAGCCAAGACTTGGGGGGAGCCCAGAGTGTGCGTTGGGGTAGTAACTGCTCTAGTTCAACCAGCTAAAACCGCACAGCTTGCCATCGAGAGCGCTGCCTGGCAAGCTTTCCCGCTGCTTGTCCAGCTAGGACCACCCTGCCCGAGGAAGCAACCAGCAGAGACACCTGCGTTGCCAGTTCAGGCCTGTAACCTGCTCTCTCTTTTTCTCTCTCCCTCTTCATCTCTCTTACACTCTGTTCCCCCAAGCCAACACTCTGCACCATGTGTCAGGCACTGTGGCTTTGCTGAGCTGGGGTAACCGTGTTTAAGTTCTCGCTGGAGAAAGTTCTCATCAGTCAGTCAGTCAGTCTGGCTGGCTGGCTGGCTGGCTGGCTGGCTGGATCGTCTATCAATCCTCCGCAGATTTTGGATGGATCTGTGCTCTTAACACTCAGCTCACTGAACTGTTAAAAAACGTTGAATAATGGGTTTTCAGGACCAGTTATCGCAGCTGTGTTTTTTATTACTTTACTATATTTTTTTTCTCTCCTCTCAATTGGAATTCGTTCCAGCTATTCCCGAACAGCACCTGACCCAAGCCCGTCCTTTTCTTAATTGTTTTACAAGGTTTTTTGGGGTAGGGGAGTTGTTCAAGATTCTCTCACTCGTTTTCAAATCCCTTCATGGCACCTCCCTACCTCTCTGACCTGCTTACCTCCCCAACCCACTGCCCGCTACCTCGGCTCGACTGGCTCCGGCCTCCTGCTTGTCCCTCACGCCCTCTGTTCCACCATCAATGGCCCCACTTTCAGCCACTACACCCTGTAACTCTGGAACACTCTCCCTCTATCCCTCTCCCTCGCCTCCTCCTTCCCCATCTTCAGGTTGCGCCTGAAGACCTTCCTCTTCAACCATTCCTACGATCACCTCCTCCTCCCCTCCCCCTGGCTCGGCATCGTGCTCCGCCACTGTCGAGTGCTCTGGGACACTACCCTGTGTGAGGGCACTGTGTAAATGCAAGTTGTTGTTGTTCTGTCTCCTTAGCAAACCACTTTACTTACTGGTCCTCGATGGCTGATTTTAATCTCTCACTTACCACTCTCGCCTTTAAGCCCCTGGTGATATCTCTCACAGGAGACTGCAGTGGCCTGTGAATTTTCTGTGTTTTCAGAGCTACAGCTGGGAGCTGGACTTGTGATGTGATTTTATATATTAAACTCTTCCCGGCCCTGTCTGCTGCCAAGATATTGCCAGCTTTGCTTGCAACAGGGGGTCAATTTGATGAAATTACATTTTGTGCTCTCGTTACTGACCTGCACTGCAATGTTCCATCATGTCCCATTGAATTACATTTCACTCTCTGTCTTTGTGTCTCTCTGTGTCTGTCTGTCTGTCTGTGGTCTCTGTCTGTCTCTGTGGCTATCTGTCTGTCTATCTCTGTGTCTCTCTGCGCACGTGTGTGGCTGTGTGAAAGAAATCCGTATCAAACCCGAGTTGTGTGGGGAAGGGGTGGGAAGGAGTGCAGGAGCCAGGGCTGGCGTCTCGGAGCATATACCAGGACCTGGGAGAAACTGGGCGCGATGTACGTGTGAGATAGATCCCTCCCCTTGATCAAGTCCCGTTTGAAAACCTTCCTCTTCAACTGTGCTTACAATCCCCCGCCCCCCCAGCTTGGAGTCAGGCTCCGCCACTGTTAAGCGCTCTGAGACTCTACACTGCGTGGAGGACGCTATATAAATGCAAGTTGTAGTTGTTGAGGTGCTGCACCCTTGGGAACTCCATCCCACAGGCCCTGCGCCTCGCACCATCCCTTGCTTCCCTTAAGGCACATCTCAAGACCCTCTTCTTCAGCTGTGCCTTTGGTCGCCCTCCCCACTACTACCCCCACACCCCCCCTCCCCCCACCCCTCCTGATCCCAACCCCCAGCTCGGGTGCAAATCCCTGACTATTCCAACGATGTGAAAGGCGCTGTGTAAATGTCGTGTGTCGTTATTCCTCGTTGCTTCAGGAGTAGTGACAGGCTTTTTCTCTCTCTCTCTCTCTCTGTTTGTCACAGGTATCGAGTGTCCCCGGGGATCGAGGAACACCCCCACCGGGGTACAGGAAGGGGAAGCATTCAGTGAAGAAGCCACACTGTTCACCAAGGAACTGGTGCTGCAGCGCGAGGTAAAGGGGGGCTGAGGGGAGAGACTCGCTCGGCTCAGCGGTGAATAGTCCGTCCGCCTCTGCCAGGGCAGAGCGGCTGAGCGGGGAGTGACCGATTGTCGCGGGCAGGTGTTTTTCGGGTATTTATGTTCTGTTGAAATGGAATATCTTGTGCCGTGTCTGACATGGGTTGAGCCGTGAGTTAATGTCAGTCACAGACACACACACACAGACATCACACACACACTCACTCACACACACACCAGAGCTGTGCTTCCCTGCGTCACTGCTGACCGCTCCGACAACCTACCTAATAATGAACGCAGCAGCTGGTCGACTGATAGCCAGAGACGCACAAGCACTTGCTCACGACTTGCAGATGGCACACAGTGTTTGTAAGTCAGTTTCACAGGATACAAGCTTCACTGTTGCTGTGCAGTTTGGCGGAGGCTCTCGCAGGTTTAGTGCCTCAAAAAGAGAGCTGGAGATTAACACACGAAATGTACGTCTCAGTGAGAAGGGCTGAGTAAAGCAGCCCACCTCAGGACACCCGCTGACTAGTCCATGTGGTATGATTAGGCGGTGAGAACACTCAGCAGGTCAGGCAGCATCTATGGAGAGAGGAAAGGGAATTAACTTTTCAGGTTGATGACCTTTCATCAGTTCTGATGCTGCCTGAGGCTGCTGAGAGTTCCCAGCGACTTCTGTTACCATTTCAGATTTCCATCATCTCCAGTATTTTGCCTTTTGTTATCATAAAGCACTGAATTAATGATCGATGTTAAACCTTTACATTAAAATACATTAGAATATACAGCACAGAAACAGGCCATTCGGCCCAACTGGTCTATGCCGGTGTTTATACTCCACGTGATCCTCCTCCTGCCCTTCCTCAACTAAGCCATCAAGCAGAACCTTCTATGCCTTTCTCCCTCATGTACGTCTCTAGCTTCCCCTTAAATACATCTGTGCCATTTGCCTCAGCAACTCCATGTGGCAGCATGTTCCACATTCCCACTACTCTCTGTGTGAAGAAATTTCTTCTAACTTCCCTATTTGTGACTATTTTATATTGATGGCCTCTGGTTTTGGTTTCCCCCACATGTGGAAACATCTTCCCTATGTCGACCCTATCCAAACCTTTCAGAATTTTAAAGACCTCTATCAGGTCACCCCTTACCCTCCTCTTTTCAAGAGAAGAGTCCAAGTATGTTTACAGCCTTGCTATGTGTACCCCATTATGTTCTCCGATACTTCAAACCCCACACACGGGTAAGGTTTCAGGTAGAGGTGTGCCTGAGGGGTTGGGGCAGTTGCTCCAGGCTGGTGTGTGGCCCGAGGCCGCTGTATTAGCATGTGACACAGGTGGGGCATTCTCACACACACCCTCACCCCAATATGGTACCTTTCTCCCCAGATGTTTGATGTTGAGCTTCAGGAAGTTGCTGTGCTTGTCTGTCTGTGTGTGTATGGGTGCGCAAAGTGTATTTGCAGCGTGTGTGTGTAGCACATGTGTGGAATGTGTGTGTGGAGTGTATGTGCAGCGTGTATGTGTGTGTATGTATGTGCAGTGTGTACTCGTGTCTGTGTGTGTAGCGCGCACAAATGGCAGGTGTAAAACAACCTGCCATCCTGTGGGTATTAAGCTGCCAAAACCAAGCTGTTTGACTCTGTGTGTCTCTCTCCTGGGTGCTGGTAATGTGTGGACTTGACGCCTCTCAGCACAGGCAGCAGGAGGGGTGGAGTGGGGCCAGGGCCTTGACTGTTAGTTTAACTCAAATTATATTTGAAGATCTCGGCAGAGGAATAGAAACCTGTTTGAGTTCCCCACCGATCACCTCCCCACCAGCCTCTGTGCCACTGACACAGGGGAGTGTGAACATCACTTCATTAACTGTTCTTACCTGGGAGTGAGGAGTGAGGCAATGCACTCCCTCAGTTCGGTGGAAATATTGGAATGGAAACCGAGATGGTGATAGTAATATAATAATAATCCTTGCATTTGATGCAGCGCTTTATCACATCATTGAGACGTCTCAAAGCGCTTCACACGATACACTGTAAAGTGATTTGATTGTATATTTTGTATGATTGTGTATTTTGTGCTCAAAACGCAGCAGCCAATTGCGCACAGCAGCGTCCCCCAAGCAGTTGGGGATTGAGGGAACCACTTACTATTTTTAATTTTAAAAAATTTTAAGGGATTTTTTTAATTATTATTTAAGAGATGGTTTTGGGGGGGAAAGACCGACAGAGAGACACACACACATACACACACACACCAACCACAACTTGCACTTATGTGGCGTGCTGTAGTGTCCCAGAGCGCACACATACACACACATCACCCTCTGTTAGCTTTCTGTACTTGACGCACTCTCAGCAGCGCAGGCACCTAGTCTTTTTGTTATTAACTTGAAATCTGTGTTTTGTCAAAAGCTCAGTGGGTGGCAGTAATTATTTAATTGTGATTAGTTTCCCGTCTGGTCTCCTGCCAGGGTGATGCTTCTCTGGAGGATTGGGGTGTGTGATTGGCGTGTGTATGTGGGTAGGGAAGATTGGTGTGTGTGTGCTCTGGGGCGCTACCCTGCATAAGCAGTGCTATATAAATGCAAGTTTATGTTGGCGTCTTCCTCGTAACTGTCTTTTGCATCCTTTCAATATGACCAAGATGTCTTCCCTAGAGTGGAGTGACCAATACTGGACACCGGATTCCCTGGTGGGGAATCCAGAACAAGAGGGGCATCATCTTAAAGTTAGAGCCAGGCCATTTAGGAGTGAAATCAGGGGCAGTTTTTCACTCTAACGACCAGTGGGAATCTGGAACTCTCTCCCTCCCCCAAAAGGCTGTGGATTATGACCGGATCCATTCACATTTTCAAGACTGAGGTGTTAGGTCAGGGTATGAAGGGATACGGGGGGCAAGAGCAGGTAAATGGTGTTGAGGTACAGATCAGCCATGATCTAATAGAATGGCGGAACAGGCTGGAGGGGCTGAATGGCCTCCTGTTCCTATGTTTCTATGGATTGATGATGTTCGTCAGAATCATTCACTCTCTGTCCTTAAAGAGGAGGCAGTCACCGCGTGAAGCTTTCAAACCCTCGAGATAAAATATCGCCGTCAGGAAACCCCACTGATCTTATTAAGCGAGTGGCATTTGAACAGATTCTTTAAAAAGTCTTAACTCGCTGCTCTTGTGTTGAGGATCTCAGAGCGGGGAGGGAGGAAGGCGGGGGGTGGGGGGTTGGCGGGTGGAGAGTCAGGAGGCGTTGGAGGGGGATTAGAATTGAATCTTAAAAAGCTCATTTGGAAATTTAATTGCAAGGTTTTTTTTTGACGCGTTCTGCCAGCTGGTAACGGGAGGAAAGATGGGGAGTGAGACTTTCCAATTATCCGCCTCTCTGCGTGTGGCGACGGTTGAGATTGATGTTGGCGCAGTGGGACCAGGGCTTTGTGTCGGCCATGAAGGGCAGGTTTGAAGGCAGCGCTGTGGGTGTGTGCGCGTGTTTCCATCTTCAGGCGGTCACTTTCTCAGTGTGTTCAGTCCTCAGTCACTTCCCCATCACACCAGTCCTCGCCAGGCGCCACTGGCTCCCGATTATTGAACAGATAACAGACTTGTATTCAAATCCCTTCACGCCCTGGCACCTCCCTAGCTCTCCAATCTGCTTACCCCCCCCCACCCCACCCCACCACCCGCTGCCTCTGCTGGGTCCGGGCTCCTGTTTGTCCCTCGTCCCCTCCCTCCACCATCGGCCGTGCCTTCAGCCACTACAACCCGAAACTCTGGAACTCTCTCCCTCAATCCCTCCCTCCTTGCCCCCTCCCTCCCCACCTTCAAACCCTGCCTAAAGAGCTTTTTAATTGTCACCTCCCTTTCCCTCTCCCCCCGGCACGTTGTCAGGCTCCGGCACTGTCGAGTGCTCAGGGTTGCTACCCCACTAGAAGGGCGCTATATAAATGCAAGTTTTTGTTGTTCAGCCCGAGTGAAGTGAAACTCCTGACTTATTCAGGAGGGACACTTTGGGATGTCCTCCCGGCGTGAAAGGCGCTCTATAAATGTAATGTTGTTGTTATTCAGCCTGGGTCTGGTGTGTGGAGTTTGGGGGAGCGATCAGGAGGCTGAGAGAGCGCTTGATGGGAAAAGAGCAGAGTAAATATTACAAGAGCATCAGGAACATTAAAAGTTTCTATGCAATCCTCTGATATTACTGTGGGGGGGAAGCGAAGGGATTTGGACAAACTGATAGCTTATTCAGGGACTGTGAAGTCCTGTAGTGTAGTGGTTAGAGCACTCGCCTCGCACGCAAGAGGACCGGGGTTTAATTCCCACGCGCCTCTGCTCACCAGCAGTGAGTAAGAACCCGGTTGTTAGTCAATTGGTGGATCGCTTTTCCGGGGGTAATAATCTCTTCCTGGACTCAGTGAGTTGAAGGAGCTTAACTGTTGTGTGTGTGTGTGTGTGAGCCCCACTTCTGTATATTACTGACGAAATTTCAGCCGCGGTTTATTGTCATTCCCGCAGTATTGTAAGGTTAAGGAATTGTTGGCTGCTTTGAGATCTAAATTGCTGCTTTTGTGAGGTGTAGATTTTTTTTTGCCCAAACCTGCGAGCAGCGGGAGAAGAGGCGTGTGCGAGCAATCACTATTGATAAACTCTGGCTCGGTTTAATGAGGCCTGTTCAATAAGATTTAAGTGCAGTTTATACAATATAGTGTTACGTACTCTCCCATCTCCTTTGCCAGAGGTTCACAATACAAATGTCACAGTCGTGGCAATTTTGTTAATGGTGACTCTCTGATGCTTCAGGTAATGCATTCTCCTCTCTCTCTCTCTCTCTCTCTCTCAATTCCTTTCTCTCCTCACTCTGTCTCCCTCTTTTCTCTCTCTCTCTCTCTACCTCATTCTTTTCTCTCCTCACTCTTATCTCCCCCTCTTTCTCTCTCTCTCCTCCAATTCTTTGCGCTTCTCATTCTCTCTCTTCTTCCTCTCTCCCCTATCTCTCCTTCCTTTCACTCC